TGTGTGTGTGTGTGTGTGTGTGCGTGTGTGCGCGTGTGTGCGTGTGTGTGCGTGTGTGTGTTCAGACAAAGCAATCTGTTAGGAGTAAAGTGCTAAAATCTATTAAAATCCACTGTCGATTTACCCAGAACATCAGAGCTGAATGCTTCATATCATTTGCAGCGTTTGACACAGTTTTGCCTTGAAAAATATGAACACGCTTCCAAATGGCCGCCGTATTACAGGCACACACACACACACACATAGCAGTACAGTAAACACACTGCAGTGCCAACACACCATGCCACAGATGGCACACACACACTCACGCACGCACGCAAACAAACTCCCAGGAGGGATTCAAATCCCCACAGAGTTTCCTTCCGGTCTGTGTGTGGCGGCGGTGTTGCATGGACCGTGTTTAGGGAACGGCAGCGGTCAGCATGGCTCCTCTACACCTCCTCTGCATTCCTGCAGATATCGCTCGTCTTCCTGCAAAAAAAAAAAGCGCAGCTCTGATTTTGAGCTTTCTCAATGTGTCCTGGTGCTGGGAGCCATGGTAACAGAGTGGTCTGATAACTGCTGTGTGTGGTGAGATGTTTCAGTGTGTGTAGGAGTGGGAGAAGTAGATGCTTTAATTTAGGAAATGGCTTAATTTGTATATACATATACATGTTTTGTTTTAAATAGAACATTTATCTTTTTGTGATGGGTAGGTTTTGCTTTAAGAGTGTGTCATGTGTTGTGTATGATGTTATTTATGCTGTATGTTCAACATATTTGCTGCTCATCTCCAGCGTGGTGCCTGAGAAATGAAGGTGTGAGCTCTGTGCTCCTTGGAGCCTCCAGCACGGATCAGCTCATGGAGAATATAGGAGCAATACAGGTGAGGATGCATGTGTGTATGTGGAAAGTGTCAATCAAATGCTAAGCCCCGCCTTAAAATCATTATTGACCAATCCCAGTGTTGCTGCCATATAGAGTGCTCCAGTTTCATTGGCTTTCAGATCATTGCAAAAAATGAGCTCTGTGACCAACAAAAGTTAATTCTTTAGGGATGCAAAATTCCGGGAAACTTTCCATGGGACTTAACGTGAATTTGAAATTTTAATCACCTGCACAGATAATTTCTAGAAGCCTGCACACTACAGCAGGTCGATTAAAGCCACACTACTGTATTTGAGCCCAACAAACTACATCTAGTCAAGTAAGTTTTGATGATATTAATAGGGTAAATATGTTTGATCTATGGTATTGAAGTTTAACTAGCAAATACTAAATCACAATGTTTTTATACAGTAGCTAGCTTGCCAGTAAATAAGATATTAGGACCCTATGAAATCCATTAAATTTTTTCCCAAATTCCATTTTATTTTTCCAAGTTCTGTTTTTTCAGTTTAAATTTTTCTGGATCCTGTTTTAATTTTTCTAGACTCTGCATGTCTAACTGATGGAAATCATGAAACTCACAATATTAAACAGAAGTTTTAACAAAAATAACATTTTAAAGCCCTTTGAAATATGTTTTTTTTTCTTTCTCAAATTCAGCTTTATTTTTACCAAATTCTTTTTTCCAATCAAAAGCATCTCTAACTAATTGATTTAATTTTTTTTTTAATTATATATATATATATACACACACACACACACACTATGTATGTAGCCTATATATGTGTGTGTGTGTGTGTATAAAGATCAACTGCTATCAAAAAATCAGAAACCTTTAAATAAAAATCAACAAGCCTATTTTCTATAGTAGTAGTACTATCATTACATTAAGTAATATAATTCTGTCAGAGTTTCTTCAAGTTAAACCAAACTTTTATTTTGACGGGCTGCTGTGAAGACCTTTAGATTTCTTCTTGTATATATGACGGTAGTTTTACTCAAAAGAAATGGTAAAATGCTCATGACCTGACTCTCACAGCAGTTCTAGAGATTGTTCATGTGTTCATGTACTCATATTTTGAGGTAGCAGAGACTGAAAACAGCGAGCGATATGTGTGTAGTAAACGAAACCATGCATCTGCATTATTTATTCACACAGAGACATGCAGAACATGCAGGATTCATTGGTATGTTTGTGGCTTAATATTCACAGACACTAGTCCATATCACCTTTTCATTTAAGTGTACTGACAGACCTACTTATGTATCCATCCAAAATTTGGCAAATTCCATGTCATTCTGCATTATACAGTAAATTCCGTTTTTATGATTAGATTCTGCTATTCCGTCCGCCTTTATATGCTAAATGTAAGCTCGCTCACATTTTCATTGACAATTTAATAGGCCAGCTTTCATGGTGCTAACTAGCTCAACTGTGATGCTGTTTCTTCTGCCTTCTGCTGGCCAGTTTTGTGTTTTATATACAATAATGTAGGTTATAGTTTGATGTAACACGCTGATTTGGGAGACAGCTTCAATTGTAAAATATTTTTACCATTCTAGAATTATTCCAGTTACAGTATTTCCAAAATTACCCAGTTTAACTTCCCATGGAAAGTTTCACCCCTTTGCAACACTTTTTCTTGCATCTTTCATAATAGTAATCTTCAAAAATTCACACAACTTGAATGAATTTTGAAGCCTAAATTGTTACAGAAGTCAAAAGCTAAACATAGGCTATAAATGAACTACACCAGAGTCACATGATTTCTGGCTTTATATTCAAAAACATTTTCCCTTAAAGTCTGTGTTCAAGTAGTTTGTAAGATTGTGATTATAAACACAGCAAGAAAAAACAACAAGGCTCTATTACTTGATGTATTTGATGTTGTAGAATAGCTTGTGTTCATCACAGACCTTATTTCAAGCATTTAACTAAAGACCCATTGACTTCAGCACGGTGGGACCAGAGGAGCTGATTTTGGATACACCATCCCTACAGCACTCTATTATTAGACATTAGAAGATATTTTTAACTGAAAGTTATCCCAAACCCAACATAAAACATTACCTAGCACTTAATAATGATAGAAGGTATCTATATTTTGATATTTCTTGCACAGATGTTTTAGTTAATGGCTATCAAATGAGTCTTTTCTGTGCTTAGCTGGATGTGAGAAGCATTTGCATCCATTCTGATTCAAACTCTCTGCCATTTTAATCATGTTACGGCAGTTTAAAAATATAATGATGTGCTTTCCAGTCTCATAAGTATAATCCGTTCGATTTTAATCACTTTATGAGCCCATTTTACAGCAAATCATGCTGTTCACAGAGATCTCCGTTCCTATGGGACATTCTGTAAAGCTGTAAAGCCTGTCTGAGCAGGTGGGCGGAGCTTAGCCATGGGTCAATATGGTCGGGAATACAGGTGCATCTCAATAAATTAGAATGTCGTGCAAAAGTTCATTTATTTCAGTAATTCAACTCAAATTGTGAAACTCGTGTATTAAATAAATTCTATGCACACAGACTGAAGTAGTTTAAGTCTTTGGTTCTTTTAATTGTGATGATTTTGGCTCACATTTCACAAAAACCCACCATTTCACTATCTCAACAAATTAGAATACTTCATAATTGTTGGCCTTCTGGAAAGTATGTTCATTTACTGTACATGTACTCAATACTTGGTTGGGCCTCCTTTTGCATGAATTACTGCATCAGTGTGGCGTGGCATGGAGACAATCAGCCTGTGGCACTGCTGAGGTGTAATGGAAGCCCAGGTTGCTTTGATAGCGGCCTTCAGGTCATCTGCATTGTTGGGTCTGGTGTCTCTCATCTTCCTCTTGACAATACCCCATAGATTCTCAATGGGGTTCAGGTCAGGCGAGTTTGCAGGCCAATCAAGCACAGTAACACCATGGTCATTGAACCAGCTTTTGGTGCTTTTGGCAGTGTGGGCAGGTGCCAAGTCCTGCTGGAAAATGAAATCAGCATCTCCATAAAGCTTGTCAGCAGAAGGAAGCATGAAGTGCTCTAAAATTTCCTGGTCTTTGTCAGACAGGTTCTATTTAAGTGATTTCTTGATTCAACAGGTCTGGCAGTAATCAGGCCTGGGTGTGGCTAGTGAAATTTAACTCCGCTTTCTACAAGAATGTGGTTAATTGCAGTTCTTTCATAATTTTAAAATAAAAATTTTCACGTAGGGCCACGTAGGTTTGGATAGCTTTTTTCCCTTAATAAATGAAATCATCATTTAAAAACTGCATTTTGTATTTACTTGCATTATCCTTGTGTAATATTTAAATTTGTTTGATGATCTGAAACATTAAAGTGTGACAAACAAGCAAAAAAATAAGAAATCAGGAAGGGGGTCAACACTTTTTCACACCACTGTATGTGTGCTGTGTATATTTATTATGTATATATAAATACACACACATACAGTATATATTTCAGAAAAATAGGTTATGTTTATATATTAAATTATAAATATAATTATTTATTTAATTATTTTAGTGCTGTCAATCGATTAAAAAAATAACTAATTAATCGCACATTTTTCTGAAATTAATCGCGATTAATCCCACCTAACACATTTTTTAAATATACTTTTATATTGCAATAATGTCACATTCAATCTTCAAATTAATGTACAAACAACAGAAAGACAGTATATTTTTTATATTTGTTTAATGGCATCTTTTTTATGACTGAAAGCCAGTATCACTAATACTGATTTCTTTATAAAATTAATATACTGTCTTTATGTTGTTTGTACATTAATTTGAAGATTGAATGTGAAATTATTGCAATATAAAAGTATATTTAAAAACTTTTATGTTAGGTGGGATTAATCGCGATTAATTTCAGAAAAATGTGTGATTTGTTTTGTTTTTTTATCGATTGACAGCACTAATTATATGTATGTATGTGGTTGTATATTTTGGTTGTAATCACATTCATGAATAACCTGGAAATATAAATATTCAGATATTAGGAGGATATTATTTAGTGAATATGAATTAAAATATTTTATTAGCTCATTTTTTTAAATCTCAAAATTATAAAAAAATGAATAAGAAAGGTGTGCAAATATTTTTTATTAAATATTTTGTACATTTACATAAGAGAACCACTTTGTAAGATACACTTTTTAACACCTGATTGAGAGCTATATATATATATATATATATATATATATAGAATCCACACTCAGTTTGCAACTCTTTTCACAGGTTCTTCCAAAGTTATCCTCCTCCATCGTGCACGAGGTGGACAGTATCCTGGGCAACAAACCCTACAGTAAAAAGGACTACCGCTCCTAGTGTGGAACCGGATGGGACCGGATGCTCCACACCCACCTTTGCCTGATCCTCCGTTCGCTTCAGCTTTTACTGAATGAGTACCGGCCGCATGAGACGGGCAAGCACCCACAAACCCTGGAGAGCAAGACTTTTAGAACACAAAGGGCAAGAAACATGTGAAAAATACACAAAACAAACAACAACAAAAAAGACACATCACTGACTGAGGGGTTGAAATGCAGGATAGAGAGCGATGCATTGAAAATATGTGCTTACGGATTCTTCCGTATGGGTACTTTAAAACCAGATCATTAGGGTAATTAGAACAAAATGAAAAATAATATGCTTAAAAACATTTTTTTTAAATAACATGCTTGCTTGGTTCCTGGAAGTATTCCGGTTTTCTCTTTGCTTTTTATTTATTTTATTTTTTTTTGTATTGAATGCATAAATGGAGCTCAAGCTGAAATAGGTGATCCATAGCCACTCGTGTGATCCATTTGGGTTTGCACACATCGTTCACATCATCGAGGTGTCCTGCCCCAGAACTCTTCACTGTGTCGTCTGCGTTACGTATGCACATGCCCCCCTTTCGCAGGCAAACCAATAAGCACTTTAAGAGAATAACAGAGGGTGCGGCTTTGTGAAAACTGATTTAAAAGCAGCTCCTCTCTAGTGTGGAACAGGGCAAAAATCTATCGCTTTTCCTTACTCTACACAGGGCATTGCGTCGTGTCGGTGTCCGCTCTTCACTGTTTAGCTTCAAAATACGGCCCTGGCTTCTCACGTGTCTTTGCTTTGCTAACAGGGCCGCCAGAGATCACTCCATCAGATGTGCTTTTGGAGGGCAGCTGTCTGTGTGATTGCTGAAGATCGCTGCAAACTGAGGGCCATGAGCCTCGGAGGTCTTCCATCCACAGTAACCTGCTCCCAGCACACGTTTAGTGCACTGATATTACAGTTACACACGCTGATTTATTAGAGTTTAAGTGTAGATTGATTATCTGAAGTACTAATGGGATAAGCATGCTTCAAAAGTATTTAATGTGATTACTGCAAACTTTTACATCTGAAGAGTGAATGTTAAGAAACTTCAAAGCATGTTCTGGTCATATTTCACCTCAAAATCAATATCTATATACAATAATAATATAAGATATACAAAGTAATTCTACTTATTATTTTAGTACCCTTTCAACTGATTTATTAATTTAGTTGTGACCATTTTCATGATAATTAAGATAATTTTGTCTAGAAATTGTCTAATGTTATGTGGAAAATTTTTTTTTTTTTTTTATTACTGTAAGGTGTGTGTGTGTGTGTGTATGTATTACAGTAATGATTTTGACAATGCAAAAAAAAAAAAAAAAACCTTGATGGTCCTAAAATATATATATAAGATATTCAGTACAAAATTAGAATACTTTTTAGGACCTTTTTTTTTTTTTTTTGGCATTGTGATTTTCACCATTTTCATGATAATTATTACATTTTTCCTACAAGTTGTCAAATGTTATATGGGGGGGAAAGTATCCTTCTAATTATTGGAACACATATATGTATATCCTGCTAATATTTGTACTGATTTAAAAAAAAATTAATGAGTCCAGACACAATGCATTACAGTAATATGACTTTTATTTTATTTTTTTAATTAGAAGAAATAAAAAAGTAAGTGAGAAAAAAATAATAATTTATTCATGGAAATAATAGTCACATAATGTAAAAAAAACAAAAAGGTCATAAAAATATATAAGATATTCCATACAAAAATAGATTACTTATTTTAGGACCATTACAATGTTTTTTTTTTATTTTTTTGCTCATTGTGACTTGTGACCATTTAAATGATAATTAAGCACATTTTCCTACAAATTGTCTTTAATATTATGTTGTTATATAAATACATATATATATATAAGTGTAACAATAGTAATAAAAACCTTGATGGTCCTAAAACATTGATTTTAGGGTGAAATATTATCAGTTTTTTTTTTTGTGACATTCACCTCATAAGGCAAATTTATTGATTATTAGCAACAAGTAGAAACATGGGGTGGTGGTAGCCTAATGCTTACAAATAATGGGCTGCTAACAAAAGTTGCAGGTTCAATCCTAAATAGAGGTGAAACAGGTCTGCTTTATCACCCTGCGATTGGACGTCTATTAGTAGCAAAACCCAACAGTGATTTGACGATATTGTCTGCAGTGTAGCTGGGGCCAGCATAACTCCAGCCCCCCACAGCACAGCAGATGTTCCTAGCCAATAGGAAAGCGGCATTCTCTCACCCGTCCAATAGGAGCAAAGACCTGTTTGTGTCAGCAGCTCAGGGACTGCGGTAGAATGTGTAGGTCTGCATGTGTTCATGTGTATGTGAAATACATCGTTTGCTGTTTCTTCATCTCATTTCTATACACTGGGCATTTCTTCTATTTGTACCGGTGATGGTACGTGTGGCTGAAGCCAAAGATTTACCCCCACATCCCGTCAGTAACGTGACTCCCGTGTCCTCTTTCCCACGGAGAGACGATGGCTCATTTAACAGCATGTATCTGCGCATCTTTCTTCACTTTGTATATTCACTCTGCGCTCTAGAAATAGAAGTACATATATACATACTTAGTGCAAGTATACATAGTGCACCCGGTATTTTTAAATGGAGGTTGGTCACCAGACGTTGATCTATAAAAAAAAATTCTTGTCGGCGTGTAGCGTTTAATCAAACCGTCCCTGATCAAGCACAAGAGAATTGCATGAGGTTCATTTGGAAAGCATGCAGCGGGATCCATGCTCTTTTAGCACATTTAATGCACAATTCATATCCGATAATGTTACATAATGTCCGAAACTGACATTTTTGCACAATTCTGAAAAAATACTCTAAAGATCAGAATCAAAGTTATGGGAGTTAAATTTGTCTTAGTATATCAACTCTATTCATGACTTAGATCAGCTTTAAAGATCAGCTTTAAAGAGTTGAATGTTGAAGTTTGGTGTCCGTTCATCTCATCTGTGTGTTTGTGTGTCTCTCTGAAGAGCATTTGGACTGATGTACGTTTCCTGATGATAATAACGGTGCAGTTACTCCTAACAGTCTCTGAACGATTTGCACTTTATTCGTTAGGTAGTTGCTTAATTGGAGATGATTCATTTACATTTATAGTGTTAACGTCTTACTTTTCCCCTTTTAAAGGAATGTTTTAGGTTCAGGTCAATTCATGTCATCATTTCAAACAAACCAATTATGCAGTTAACAGTAATGTACCTAAAACAGAAATGTACTTTTAAAAGCAGAGATGTGCAGCTGTGTAAAGAGTTTTGAGTATTATGTGAAATTCATATGCATTACATGCATTTTTTTTTTTTGCATTGCAGTAATGAGAATCTGTGGGGAAAATGAACAATTTTCATGGAGATAATGCCACAAGAAATCATTCTAAAAAATAAGGTTTGGTTATTTCATGCTAAATATAATACATTTTAGGGTCAAAATATTTTCTGGAAATTGCTTTGTGAACTTCAGACAAAAGAATAAAATTAAATAATTGATTATTAAAAAAATAATAATAAAAAAAGAGAGAGAGCAAAAGAAACGAGTTGTAGCCAAATGCTTTCAAATAAATAAAATAAAATGAATTCATTGTTGATTTAAAAAAAGAGAGAAAAATTAAGTGGTAGCCAAATGCTTACAAATAAGTAGACATTAATAAAATGAAATTAATTGATGATAGATTTAAAAAAGTGGTTGCCAAATGCTAACAAATGTGACAGACATGTTTATGAACATTTTTATCACACTAGTATAATGCTGAAGTGTTATGTTACATGTAACAAATTATATTTTAATTACTGTCAACACGTGTTTTTCTGTTTGTAATGTCCATAGAGCTTCAGTCGTACTGAAACTGAAACATTCCTTTATATTTCATTGTTGTACATTGAACATTGTACATATCATCCGGATGAAATGGCATCACTGAAGTGTGTTTGAGGACTAATGTGAGCAGTAGATAAATTATTCATAATGTAGTGATTGTCATTATTGCTTATATACATTTTCCCCTTTTTTTAAGAAAATAAGATGATAAACTAAGAAAATGACAGTTGACATTTATTCTAAAGAATGTTTCACAAATATGGCCCCTGGATTTAGAAAAAAAAGACATCAATTAAAAATATAGTGCACAGCTGCGGTTTGAAATATTTAACACATGCTTAAAAAAAACTATTATTCAATGTGAGCAGTAGATTTGTGATCAGAGGCAGTTATTAGTTTAGTTTCGTGTTGAGATTCATCAGTGTTTGGATAGCAGAGCTGCCAGATTCCCAGCGTTCATCTGTGCGCTTGACTGGACTCGTATCGACTAATATTTTCATTGTGTTAGTGTTGTACCTCGTCAGTGTGTTTCTGCTCTTACGTTGACTGTTTGATAGAGTCGGAAACGTTTGGTGAAGACGACGTGAATATCATTGACTGGTTTTCCATGCCTCCGAGCACTTTAAGTTCAGAGTAGAATGGTTGGAAAAACAGGGAAAAGTGTAATAGTTATTAAATCTGTAATTATCAGTCCAGGTTTGACAGATGTGAAGAGTTTCGTTTTCAAGTACCATACTTTAGTTCCCGAGGAGATTATTTTTCATGTTTAAAATTTTGCAAAGATAAAGACTAAAATATGATTTTATTTTTTTACCATTCTTTGTTGCCCTTCGGTGGTACTGACCTGAAGATGACGATGATGACAAAGAGCAATTATTTGCACTGAATATGCATTTTGGAGAATTCTGTGAAATGTATACAACGGCAAGCTACATTTCCACGCTTTGTGGAGAAATACTGTATGTCGAGTCAGATATATCTGTATATAGTTTGACCTTTGTACATATATCTATACATAAGAGTATTCATGGTCCTGATCACGCCAGCCTTTGGTTCTTTTATTTTCATCGAAAGGCATTTGCTGACTGCATTGTGCTTGAATCTGAATTTAGACATGTACAGCGCCAGTATCTATGAAATGATAACTATAAAATATTGACAATGAAAAAAAACAACAAAAAACGACTGTTTGTGTCTTTTGGTTTTTCTTGAGTTTCTTAAGAAACGCATTAATGGAGTTGAAGCTGCAGTATGTGACTTTTTGCCTTTCTATCGCTATTTTGGTTTGCAGTGCTGGTAGTAACTGATTACATGTAATCTGGATTATGTAATCAGATTCCAAAAACTAAGTACTTGTAATTATATTACATTTTAAAATACTCATAATCAGACTACACTTTATTGATTACATGATTACATACAATAGCAATAAATTATTCATAATGTAGTGATTGTCATTATTGCTTATATACATTTTCCCCTTTTTTAAAGAAAATAAGATGATAAACTAAGAAAATGACAGTTGACATTTATTCTAAAGAATGTTTCACAAATATGGGCCCCTGGATTTAGAAAAAAAAGACATCAATTAAAAATATAGTGCACAGCTGCGGTTTGAAATATTTAACACATGCTTAAAAAAAACTATTATTCCAGGGTGGCACAAGTAAAAACGTTTTCAACAGGTTCACATATTAAAGACTTTGCAAAACATTTACAATTGTATATTTTACAAAACATAAATAAATTCAAACTTTATGCAAAACAATCAAAAGCATGAAAATTTTTCCTATTTTTTTTCTTCTAATATTAACATATACAGGCCCTCCTTTAATAAAAGGCTGTCATAGCACCTACGGTGAAACATCACTTCATGTAATTTAATATGTTGCCATCCACACAGATGTTTCTTTATCAAACGTTACAGTCTGTCAAAGAGGTAAAACAAATACAGTTTGTGTTCGGCTACTGATTTTGTGAAATTAGTAAACACCTGCCTGAAAGGGTTAGTTCACCCAAAAATTAAACTGAGGCTGCATTTTTCTCACCATCCTAGGTGTATATGACTTTCTTCTTTCAGACGAATCCAGTCGGAGTTATATTAAAAATTGTCTTTGATTCTTAGATCAGGTGTTGCATGCATCAGTCCAAAAGAACTTAAATAAAAAGCGTCCATCCATAAAAAAAAAAAATCTCGCACGGCTCCGGGGGGTGAACAAAGGCCTCCTGTAGCGAATCGATGCGTTTTTGTAAGAAAAATATCCATATTCAAAACGTAATAATCACTTTAATGTAGCTTGCGCCAACAGTTGTACACAGAAGCAGCTCCAGGCGGATGACATATAAGTTCAGCGTTGCGCATGCGCCGGTGAGCCTCGCCGAAATTCCTCGTTTGTTAAGGAAGCAAAGTTTCCTTGATTTAGCAAGGGAAAACCAGTCTCCTCTTGGCTTATATCGAAATCCTCTGACATTCTTCTTTACAAATCCTCGTTTTGTACTTCTAATAAGTGACCATTGTTTTGTTTTGATCTCTCCGCTGCATTTCCGCGTGCGTCACTTCTGAGCGGCGCATGCGCAAAGCCGACCTCATACGTCATTCCCCCGGAACTGCTTCTGTTTACAACAGTGAGCGCAAGCTAGATTCAAGTGATTATTACGTTTTGAATATGGATATTTTTCTTAAACGCATCGATTCGGTACAGAAGGCCTTTGTTCACCCCCCGGAGCCGTGTGAGACACTTTTTTTTTATTTTATAGATGGGCGATTTTTATTCAAGTTCTTTTGGACTGATGCATGCAACACGCGCTGAGTGGCATTAAAAAGCTTGAAAGATCAAAGACAATTTTTAATATAACTCCGACTGGATTCGTCTGAAAGAAGATAGTCATATACAACTAGGATGCATCGGGGGAGAGTAAAACGCAGCCTAATTTTAATTTTTGGGTGAACTAACCCTTTAGTATTAGCTACAATCCAGCGGCGTAAACAAGAGTGTTATGAAATCCAAAGGCACTTTTTGTCTTGTTGAGTCAAAAGTGAATCTGACAACAGTACTGAAACACAGACAATATGAAAATCCCCTGAAAGCGCGATGAAGGATCGAGTCTGAGCTGTGAGGAGCAGTCGGGGAGAGTAAAGTGCATCTGTGTGTTTGTGTCCCGCTGCAGCTGCTCAGTGTGAATGTTAGCGTTATGAGGTGTCGAGCTGGGACTGATTCTCCTCTAGATGTCTGGAGTCCACCTCTGGAGGGTCCCCTAAGAAGATACAATTACAACCATTCAAATCACATTAGATCGTATCACATTTTATGTGTTGACTAAATTAGAGTTATTACAGTTGACTAAAACTAAACCAAAAACCATTAAAAATAATTGCTACTTTAAAATACTTGTTAACTGAAATAAAATATTAATAAAATTAAACATATTTCAGCTAAAATAACTAAAACTGAAATAAATATAAAAATAGACTTAAGAAAAAATAAAACTAAATGTAAAATAAAAATAAACTATACACTTTAAAAAATGATTCATATGCAATAATAAATATATTTAGCTCTAAGTTGGGAGTTTTTTGCCTGACTGGCTGGAGAGAGACTGATCTCAAGCAGGTTTACGTTGTGAGCACGTGAGGCCGATCCAGCCGCTGAGACACAGGCAGCGTCCGTTTCTGCGGTCGCACTGAGCGCCGTTCTCACACTCACAGCTGAGCGCACAGTCAGGTCCGAACCGCGTCACACTGCAGTCTGACACACAACAGCATGCATTACACACGCATATAATCATGAACATCACGTGCAGTGGTGTTACTGGACTCACCGCTGTCACACCGGACACCCGTCTTTCCTGAGGCACAGACACAGCTGCCGCTCACCGGGTCACACGCGGTGTCCTCCGCACAGTCACATGACCGAGAGCACTTCAGACCAAACGTGCCCTGCTCACATTCTGAGGAAGAAAAAGGGTTTTTTTTGGTTAATGTTCATTTTATTTCGAGTAATGAAAAAGCTTTTTAAGGTTGTAATTTATTTTAGTACTTTAACATCAATTTAACCAAAATAAGAAATGGTTCCTTGGCTATACGCAGAAATAAAACAAGCTGAAATAGGTTTTATTATTTTTTTGTATTTCAGTTATTGCTTATTTTAAGTAAGCATATTTAATTATACAGTATTATAACTATTGTTATTATTGTATATATTATATTGTGTGTTACTAGTATTATTAAATATGTAAAATAAAAAAAAATTCATTAACATTATTTTTATAATCTTTCATTCTAAATGTTTACATATAAATTTTCATCTATTTCTCTGTGTGTGTAAATATATATATATATATATATATATATATATATAGAGAGATAGATACACATACTGTATATGCATGTACAAAAACATGAAATGCATTGGCATTGTGTGTGTACAGGTATATATGGTTTATGAGGACACAAATGTGTATAATGACATGGGTACCACAACGTAAACATGGTTTATGAGGACACTTCCTGTGTCCCCGTAAAACAAAAGGCTTAAAAACATACAAAACGGTGTTTTATGAAATTCAAAAATTGCCAGTAGTTTCCTGTGAGGGGTAGGTTTAGGGGTAGGGTTGGCGTAGGGCTATAGAAAATACAGTTTGTACAGTATAAAAACCATTACGCCTATGGAGAGTCCCCATAAACCACAAATGCAAGTATGTGTGTGTGTGGACTTATGTAGATGCTGAACGTCTGACCTCTTTCACAGCGAGAGCCGTGAAATCCAGCGGGACAGAGACACAGTCCGGTTCTGGGGTGACATGAAGCCCCGTTCACACAGTCACAGAACTGCTGACAGCCAGAGCCGAACAAACCGGCGGGACACGCTGAAACACACACACACACACACACACAGAGAGTCAGCACACAGCAAACACTCAGTCTGTGCTGGAAGAGCTTCTCATGGATCTCACCGTGTTGACAGAGATGACCGTAATATCCCGGCTGACACCGGCAGCTTCCTGTCACTCGGTCACATGTGCTGTTATTCTGACACAAACACTGCAGAGCACAGCCAGGACCGAAGCGACCCGCAGCACACTCTGACAACACACACACTAAATCATAAAACCCAGCCACAGATAGAAACAGAACAGATCTGAAGCAGGAGAGTCTATAAAATTAGATTGTATAATTTCTATTATAATAATATAAAATAAATATTTAGTATATTTAATGATACGATATATTTATTACTTATTTGTGTAATTTAAAGACTAATACACAGTCAAATATTTCAATGTTGTTACACTATACAGTGTTTTTATTATACATATGCATCAAATGTATAATTATATCCTATGTAATTATAGAATATTATAATTGTATTACATACTTGTATCATTTAGATAATATTATATATAATTTTTGTTTTCAATCATTTCCCTAAAAATATTTTTATTATATATTTTGTGTTTGTGTTATTTTAGATACATTACAACAGATATTTTTTTATTTATTTAACAGATATATTATTTTATATATAATACTTGACAGATAACTGACATAGATTCAAATATTTTAAAATGTAATTGCACTTTGATTCATATCAAATGAATATTTGTAGCAATATTGTATTTCTATCACACATCAAACAAACAAAACTCCAGATCTAATTAGTGATTAGAAAGAAGTCAATTGATTCATAAGCATTTAATCTATAATGAACAGATACATTAATAATAATAATAATAATACATTTCAAAAGAAATGAGAAGAGTCAAGTTTTTACTTTTTGAGTAAAGATCCCAGCAGGCTTGATATCAATTTGACATGAAATATTAATCAAGACTTGATCAAGACACTGTAACGTTATTTTAAAGTCAGTTTGGATGGCAGTTTCTTCCGGTGGTAATTAGGTAAAAATAGGAAGTTAATCCCACACTGAAACTGCTTTAATGTAGGCCAATATGTTTGAAGTTCAATTTACATCACATCAACATCATGTTGAATTTCTGACGTCAGACTGATTTGCATATTTGACCTGTTTATTGACGTCAATTTGATGGCTTTTCATCATCAATTGCCCACTGGGATGAATCTCGGATGATGGATCATGTCAGATGAATAAATGACTCTTAAAGGGGTCATATGATGTGATTTCAATTTTTCCTTTCTCTTTGGAGTGTTACAAGCTCTTGGTGCATAAAGAAGATCTGTAAAGTTGCAAAGACTAAAGTCTCAAATCCAAAGAGATATTCTTTATAAAAGTTAAGAGTCAGCCACGCCTACCTAAAACAGCTCGTTCTAACACGCCCCCACATGTCTACATCACTATGTGGGAAGATTTGCATAACGCCGTCCAAATACTACTTTGTTTGGCCTTCCAAAAGAGGACAATATCCGCTTCGTCATGCATAGAGCTGATCCGTGCTGGTCGCTGAGGAAATACATTAACTTAGGGCTGTGGATCGCCGGATCGGCTTTCACCGTGGACAAAGCGGAGTCCAGCCCGGGGTCGTCACATGTGGTTGCCGCAAGCCAGCCGGACGCTCTGTCGAATCCGCCGGCCGTTCCTCACTGTAGGCCGCGACTCACGCTAGCCCACTGTGTGTGACGCTGTGTTTCGTTGTGAAAGTGAAACTACTTTGTTTGGTCTTCCAAAAGAGGACACGACTAGAAATCAGTGGTTACGTTGTATTTACAACACTGTTCCAGAACAGTTCAACCCAAATATTCAGATGCGTCCAGCGCATTTTATGGAGGACTGTTTACTGATCATGGGACAGTAGACTACAATGCCGACTGCAAGTACGTTTTTTGTATTTAAAGAATTTGCCACTGATGATTCAAATGCGAGTTTTGAGCAGTGTAGAGTAGCATTTCTTGTTTGTCATTTCTCCGATCACAAATGCAGGCATGGTTTTATGTTTACGCGGCGTGATGCAACACGTAAAAAGACAGTATAAGTCATTATAATCAGTAATTATGTCCCCACTGGATGCAACAAATGCCTCGTTTATAATGGGTTTTAATGTTTGTGTCTCGTCGCTCCGGCCGGGACAAGGCATCACAATATGGTAAGGGGTGTAACATTTCCGTCACACGCTTGAGGTATTCGGCCAATCACAACACACTGGATAGCTGGCCAATCAGAGCACACCTCACTTTTCAGACCGATGAGCTTTGTAAAAATCGACACGTTTCAGAAAGGCAGAGCATAGAGGAGAAACAATAATGTACATTATGTGGAAAATAATGTGTTTTTTTAACCTTAAACCGCATAAACACATTTCATTACACCAAATACACAAAATAATGTTATTTTTAGCAACATCATATGACCCCTTTAAAGGTAGAGTAAGAGCAACATTATGAACTCTATGGATGATGATATATGTCACCTCTCTCACAGCGCAAGCCGGTCCAGCCGAGGCCACATGAACAGTTTCCAGAGCCGGCGTCACACAGGCCTCTGTTACTGCAGTCACAGTGCTGAGAGCGGCCTACACACACACACACACACTGCTGTCAGACGTCTGAGAACACACATCTACCCTCACAGAACACCAGCTCACCTTCCTCTCCCACACACACGCCGGTGACCGGGTCACTCCTCGCCCCCTTTCCACAGACGGCCACACGGCCACAGTCCGGCCCGTAGAGTCCCGCCGGACACGCTGAACACCAGACGGAGACACGAGGAGAAGAGTGCTGTTGAAACGCTGCTGTCTGAGACACATGCAGTGTATTTTGTTAAGGGTTTGTTGTGTGTGACTCACTGAGATGACAGCGAGCCCCGATGAATCCGGCCGGACACTTACAGGTGCCCGAGCCTGAAAGACAAACGCCTCGGTTCACACACTGACAGCGACGCTCGCAGCCGGGACCGTAGAAACCCTCGACACACGCTACACACCAAACACATCCAAAACAGCAGCATCAGCAACACAGTCAATATACTCTATACAAACTTTACTGAGTTACCCACCTCTCACCTATCGTAGTCAAATAACCTTTTATCTAAAACAGGGATTCACTATGTTTTAGACAACCCCTTTTGACATTACTACTTTAATATTAAATAGTTCATATTTAAATATTTACACCCTTTAATATTACAATAATTTAACAGCACATTCACTTGTTCACAGTTTTCTAATGTTGTGTGTCATGGTGGTAAAATATTTCATATTTTTAGTAAGTGTTTTTAAAATGTTTTTATTTTGCTATCGTATTTATTTAATTTCTTTTTATTTTTATGGTCTTATTATTTTTGTATTTTATTTTGTTTTTATTGTAAATGTATTTTCATTTGACATTTCTATGATTTCATTATTTTTATTAAGTGTTTTAGCTTGTTTTTATTTTAAAATGATTCTTTTGTACATTTTTATTTATTTTACACTTTTGGAAAGATTTATTAATTTTTTAAAAATAATTGTTTATTTTAACCTCACATTTTTATGATTTTATTAATTTATTAAGTGTTTTTATTTTTTTTATTTTGATTGATGATTGATGATTTTATTTTTAGTGCTTTAGTTTGTTTTATTTTAAAATGTATTTAAATGTAAATTTTTGTCACTTTATTTTTTTTATATTATATTATATTATATTTAATTTGCTGTGTTTTAAAATGTACCTTAAATTTAAATGTGATATTTTTAGGATTTTATACATTTTGGTAAGTTTCTGTCTGATTGTATTCATTTTCAAATTTATTATTTTAGGTTTTAGGTTTTAATGAGATTTTATTTATTCATTTTAATTTTACATTTTTGGAAAGATTTATTAAATTTTTTTAAAGATTTATTTTAACCTCACATTTTTATGATTTTATTAATTTATTAAGTGTTCGAATTTATTTATATTTTAAAATGTACCTTAATTTTGCATTTTTAGGATTTTCTGAATTTTCGTTATTTTAATTTGACATTGTTAGGATTTAATCAGTTGTTAGCTGCTCAAGTCACAAACCCCGTGCAGTTCTCTGATGAACTCGACTGATCTAAACCACAGCAGAGGAACAAACTCTCAGTACCAGTATGAATCCAGTGGCTTGTGGAAGTTTAAAAGCATCACTCACCCTGTTCACACTTGGGTCCTGTGAATCCAGGCGCGCAGTAACACACTCCAGACACCGGGTGGCACAGCTGATTTCTCTCTGAACACTGACACAGCTGATTACAGTTGATGCCGAAGGTGCCGGGCAGACAGACTGTTGATACCCACACGGATGATCATATTTTTTAGAACAACTCTTGTGATGCAGTCATTTGTGAAGCTGCAGACTCACTCTGCTCACAGCCGTTGCCCGTGTAGCCGGGAGGGCAGCCGCAGTGTCCCGTCACGTGATGGCATGACGTACCCGGCGGGCAGGGGCAGCGCTGGACACAGTCCTGACCGTATGAGCCCGGCAGACATGCTGACACACACACAAAGTGTTACACACACAGACACTGGACACAAACTTCAAGTGAAGCGGGGGCAAAAAATCCCATAGACTTAACATTGTGACCAATTTTGACGGGACATAGCCCCAAGTGAGGATTTCAGACAAACATGTGGGTGGCCACATTTGAAAAAGCTGGCAAGCTGTGTGAGAACATACCTCACAATGTGGTATAAGTTGTACCCCTGGCGCGCAAGAGCCCCCCAAAGATGCCCCATAGACATAGACATTAAAATAACATCAGAAATGTAATGAGCAGCATTTGCGGATGAACGTACAAATCCTGTTCAACATCCTGGACATTGAAGTGATAGTCACACAGGTTATGAACTGACCTTTCTCACAGTGTCTTCCTCTCCATCCTGCAGGACAGAAACACTGTCCGCTCACATGATGACAGGGGGCGCCGTGATCACACTCACACCGGCCCTCACAGCCGACTCCAAACCGCCCGGATACACACGCTGACACACACACACACACACACACACACACACTGCTGATCATGATCATTACACTTCCCTACACACACATATTACATGTCATTATTTACTTCTTTAGAAAGGTTTTTTGAGTTTACAATCATTTGGTCTCCATATGTTCAGACAAACAAAACAAAAAAGTCCACACAAGCTCAGTTTATTTCCAGTGTGGACTTATTTCCTATTGGGACAGTGAGTTGAGGTGAGACAGATGAGGGGCTACTCTTACTTAGGCTTTGGTTTAGATCACAGAATGTTCATGGGTTCAGCAGACGACTGTAGATGACCTTACCGTTCTCACAGCGCTGTCCTGTCCAGCCCGGCTGACAAACACACCGACCCGTCTGTCGGTCACACTGAGCACCGTTCAGACAATCACATCTGTCCAGACAGTCTGACCCGAACCGACCCGCTGGACATTCTGAACACACACACACACACACACACACGTCAACATGAAGCATATATTTGCAAACACATAGATGAACATTATATTTAAATAATAAATTATATATACATAAATAAATATAAGACATTGCATAATTACATTTATATTATTAGTATAATATTTAAATTATATATAAATATAATAAATATGTACACCATATACTTCAATTATACAATTTACAGAAATGTTAAATTATGCATATCAAATGCTGTGCATATCCTTATGTATTGCATTTATATACATCAATTACAGAAAAAGTATTATCTGGCTATATATATATATATATATGGTATAAAAAATATTTATTTATTTGAAAAAAAAAACCCCCAGAAACAACTGGAGAGGAGGGATGGTAATGGGAAAGGACCACAAGTCTAAATAAATAAATAATAGATTCAATTATTTATTAAACATTGTATTTTTTATTATATTGCTGTTTTGCTTCTTTTTTATTTTTTACACTTGTATTACACATACTCTGCTTTTTTGCTTTATTTTGAAGTTTAGCTTAGAGTTTGAAGTTGAGAATGAACCTGCATGTAAAAGTTCATCCTGGAGCAGCGCTCATAACTATAATGAGGTGCGAGGAGAAGAAACCAAGATCTAGAAACAGAGGCCGTGACTAAAGCGTCTGCGGTTGCCAAAACCATCTGACACACAGGTTAACAAATACTGAAAAGTGAAATACCAGCATGACTCTATATACTGTATATGATGCAATGCCTGGAAATCAGTGGCTATTTTCCTTCCCAACTTCACACGTCGAGATCCATTTTATTTATTTATAATATATATATAAAATATAGAAACATTTACACACTAGTTTGCGTCATGTCCTGATTATTTTGTGTTCTCTCTCCCAGTTAAAAAATAAAATGAAATGTAAAAAACCTGAGCTTCCACACTGCCAATAATAGTTTCCTATGCTAGTCAGCACACTGCACTTTACACTGTCAAATACAATAAAGCGTGTACATACTGCACATTACTTGCATCAAATCTCAGAGCACAGCCAGACCGGCATAAGGATCCGCCACTCACCCAGTTCACAAGCTGAACCCGTCCATCCGCTGGGACAGAAGCAGCGGCCGCTCTCAGGGTCACAGGAGGAACCCCCGCTCTGACACAGACATCTCTGAGCACAGTCCGTCCCGAAGAAACCTGGAGAACAACCTGCAAAAACAGGAATCCAAAACACTAAAACCATATACACTCAAAGAAAAGCATACAGGAGACATCGTAACACCAGAAACATTATTTATTAAAAAATTTTTTATTATATTTTTTATTATATTGCTGTTGTGCTTCTTTTTTATTTTTCAAACACTTGTATCACACATACTCTGCTTTTTTGCTTTATTTTGAAGTTTAGCTTAGAGTTTGAGGTTGAGAATGAACCTGCATGTAAAAGTTCATCCTGGAGCAGCGCTCATAACTATAATGAGGTGCGAGGAGAAGAAACCAAGATCTAGAAACAGAGGCCGTGACTAAAGCGTCTGCGGTTGCCAAAACCATCTGACACACAGGTTAACAAATACCGAAAAGTGAAATACCAGCATGACTCTATATACTGTATATGATGCAATGCCTGGAAATCAGTGGCTATTTTCCTTCCCAACGTCACACTTCGAGATCCATTTTATTTATTTATAATATACATATAAAATACATAAAATATAGAAACATTTACACACACTAGTTTGCGTCATGTCCTGATTATTTTGTGTTCTCTCTCCCAGTTAAAAAATAAAATGAAATGTAAAAAACCTGAGCTTCCACACTGCCAATAATAGTTTCCTATGCTAGTCAGCACATTGCACTTTACACTGTCAAATACAATAAAGCGTGTACATACTGCACATTACTTGCATCAAATCTCAGAGCACAGCCAGACCGGCATAAGGATCCACCACTCACCCAGTTCACAAGCTGAACCCGTCCATCCGCTGGGACAGAAGCAGCGGCCGCTCTCAGGGTCACAGGAGGAACCCCCGCTCTGACACAGACATCTCTGAGCACAGTCCGTCCCGAAGAAACCTGGAGAACAACCTACAAAAATACACTCAAAGAAAAGCATACAGGAGACATCGTAACACCAGAAACACGGCTTTTCTTCTTAAGAGGCCTACTCTACTTGTCATCATCAGTGAGCATTATGGGTATTGTGTTCCTGGTAACGTTTATGAAAATAAATATGCATGAATACATATCATAAGGGCCTGTTTATAACTAGTGGTTATTCTTTGTAAACCCTAGCCATGTTCAAAGTCACATAAATCACCTTTCTTCCCCATTTTGATGCTTGGTTTGAACTTAAAAAAAAAAAAAGTCCATATCCGTTTAGTCCATTCATTTACATGACAATGGCATTTTGGGGGCCTGAAAACACAAACTTTTGAAAACAAGCTTCAAAGCACAAGGTTTTGAAAACAATACCATTATTGTCTCAGTGTAAACTACAAAAACCTGACATTTTGAAATCAGTGACATCATGCACATGCATATTATGTGTTCATGTCGTGTGCCTTTAAAGTCCCCATGAAATCAAAAGTAAAGTTTTTTGGGTGTTAGTATCAATATGTTAGTCTTAAGGTTATCTATAAGGCAGTGTGCTCCAAAACAGTGACAAAATTCGCATTTAGAAGATATAAGCATTCAAAGCTTGCAGTTCGTCACTTCCGCCAAAACGGCTCAACGATTTTTTTGACGTCACATTGTACTTCAGCTTCTCATCAAACTTTCTGTCCAATCAAATGCTCTCTAGAATCCGAAGTGCCTGGCCCCTACACTATAAAATAGACGCTGAAGCCGCGGCTGAAATCGGTCACTTTTCCATAGAATTTGTATTTTCTGTACAGTGAATGGCACGTAGTGCACTATATAGGGGACAGGGAAAGATTCAAACAGTGTAAATATGCTTTCCATTGAGGGAAAAAAAGAAGTCTGGTTTTGCGCTGTCACGCTAACCACCGCACCGCGCACACACTCTGCTCCGATCCAGAGACACACGATAGCACGGAGCGGATCACATGCGCGAGTCTGCGCAGACCACAAAATGTATCTGTGAATTCTACACAGAATGCTATATTTTATAGCAATATGGATGAGAACTGCAAGCATAATAGTGCATTTTTAGCTTTGATCACAGGAATACATTACATTTTAAAATATATTCAACTAGGAAGCAGTCATTTTAATTGTAATACTATTTCACAATATAACAGTTTTTACTGTATTTGTGATAAAGAATGCAGCCTTAATGAGCATAAAAGACTTTCCAAAACATTCAAAAACCTTACAGACTCCAAACTATGTATATATAGCATATGATGTATATTGTAATGAATGAAGCGTCAGTATCTTACGTTGTGAGCAGGTGTCTCCCGTCCACCCTGCGCTGCACTCACACTGACCGTTTACAGCGTCACAGCTGCTGTTATTGTGACAAACACACGTCTGAGAACAGCTCACTCCGTACAGGCCAGCAGGACACGCTACAGACCAGACAAACACACACACACACACACATTACTTGCTGGAAAACGCCTCTGTGCAAGACAGGAAGACAGATGTGCTCATAAAAGAAGAAGTTATGATCATAACGTGTGCTCGAGATCCTGCAGTTAATTACACAAGCTCACTTTGGTTACAATGTGGGCCGATCCAGCCGGGCAGACAGGCACATTCACCACTGTCATGATCGCAGAGCCCCCCGTTCATACACACACACCTCTGCTGACAGTCCAGGCCATAGAAACCCTGCGGACAGGCTGGACACACACACACATAAACGGTCAAAAATCATCCCGTATCCCATAACACGACTGATGTTAATATATGAGAAGTGGAACAAACGTACGTTTTTCACAGAACGATCCAGTCCAGCCAATCTTACAGGTGCAAGCTCCGCCCACATGGTCACATGATGCCTGGTTTTCACACTGGCAGCGGTGCTTGCAGCCCGGGCCGAACGAACCAGCAGGGCATTCTGGGACAGACACAGATCACATCAAATGCATCATAAATACTGTAACATTTATAACAGATATTGAAGTATTCATGGAATACAGAGGGACTGTCAAATCTAAAATGAGAACATGCATGGGATACTTGTATGAATTCATTTGTCAACTCGCAAGACCATTTAAAATTAACAAGTGAAAGCAATATTATAATATTTTTTTAAAAAGTGGCTATAATATAAATGTTAAATGCATCAACTGCCCATCATTTTATTTTTTATTTTGCATGTCTTTAGATTCTTTTCCTATTTCATTATCAAATATTCTATAAATACTGTATCATTTATAACAGACATAGGAATATAGAGGAACTATTAAATCTTAAGTAGTTCTGCTCTACAAGGAAAAAGCACTGTTCTGGCACAATCTGCCGATGAATCCAGGAGCGCAGACACATGTGCCGTCATGCCGGTCACAGCGGCCTCCGTTCTCACACGCCGGACACGATTCCTGACATCCAACACCCCAGCGACCCTCTGCACACTCTGATGTAGAAATATGGTGTGTGTTTGGATTATACATCTGGACAGCATTAAGGCTGTCAAAATGACTGAAAAACTAAATTCGAATTTTCTATTTAAATATGATCAAAATTCGAATTATATTCGAATTTAAAAGTCATAATTTCAGTTAAGGGGAAAAAAGCTGTTGGCTTCTCTCCTGAGCCCACAAGAGGGCGCATCGAGCAAAATATGATGCACGTTTCTTCAAAGCATAATAAAATAACACGGCTATCTTTGCATAATGTTTAAAATAATGCTTATAAATCATATATAATTACTAAAGTTGCTTAAACAACGTGCGCCACTGATAAAGCTGCCTGACGGCTGATGCAGACCTTGAATTCGAATGCATCGTTTTTGCATTTTTAATGTGGATTTTTTTTTTTTATTCTACGAATATTATGTTCTGGGTCAATATGACCCGCAACACATTTCTTAGTTGTCGGAAATACTGGTTACAAAATTACAAAAGTGTACAAAATTGCAATGGTGTGATGTCAGTTGGATCCAACAAAAACAATTTAAATAAAAAAAATGTAAATAAATGAATAAATAAAATACTGTTTATAATATTCTCATGTTTTAAAAAAAAAGTCAACAATTTTATAGGTAGTAATTAAACAGCTTTAAAATATTATTGGATAGATAGAATAATGTTTACTTTTTGGTGATGTTTTTACCTGATCTTTTGTTTGCTTGCATTTTTTTAAGGTGTGATTTTTGAATTGTATTGAATCCAAGAGCTCCGAATTTAATTTCATTGAATTTATATTTTATTTTAAATCTTTATTTTGTTTTTATTTTATATTATTATTTCATTTTTAGATTGCATGTTTTACAGTTATTTTCATTGTATTTCAGTAATGTGTTTTCAACGCTAATTTAAAATAAAAAAAGGTTAAATTGCTACTGTATGTATCAACTACCCATATAATTATTTTATTTATTTTTAGATGTTTTTTTAACACAATACGAGGGTTAAACAACATGACAACAGGCAGAATTTTCTTATACTGTAGGATCACTTTGTCTATGAGCCACTAATACAAGTTTACAGTACTAAAATACTACAAATATTACTGTAAGTTATTTTTTTATAGGCTGGGGGTCTCTTTTATAGATGTGAAGACAATATTAAAATATAGAACAATATAAGTATGACATGTTGGTGTCAGCAACATTACCTTTTTCACAATGTTTTCCAAACGTTCCAGCGGGACACAAGCATTGGCCAGTGATCCTGTCACATGGTGCCCCCGAGCAGTCACATGACTGAGAGCAGCCAATCCCAAATCTCCCATCAACGCAATCTATCACAGTAATGGCAAAAATATTTGGTGCTGAACATTTGGAGCACAAATCTCCAAATTTCCACATGCAGCTTTATTGATCTGATCAGTGACTGATGCATGTCTAATGTCTACTTTAGCTCTAATGGCCTTAATGCCATATGAACAATATATGTATTTTTAATTTGACTTTATTTAGCTGATCAATGACTGATGCATGGCAAGTACTTTATCTATAATTTGACTTGATATACCTTGGTCACACTTGTCTCCTGTCTTTCCAGCTGGACACTGCGGTTGACACGCTCCGGTCACATGATCACAGATCACTCCAGCCGCACAGGAGCATTTATTATCACAACCAGAGCCAAAGAAGCCTGATTCACACTCTGCCCAGAAAAACAATGAATACTGATCAGATCAGATCATATACTGT